CCTTCGCCGGTGAAATTCAATGTTGAAGTAGCCCGGTCTGAGATGTGCTTTTGCAAGATTTTATCAAGGCTTAACGGTTTTGGTATTGGTAGATGCTTGATTCAGCAGCTCACTAGGCAAAATATTCCAGCTTATTCCAGCTTGACATAATTAAAGGGCTTGAGTTTTCATTACTCTTTAGCAATATTGCTTTAAGATTTTTGATAATTGGTGCTCTATATGGGATGCGCCAAGCCAGTATTGGGTGAGGAGGACAAAACACCCAGCAGTTACAAGTTCCGTCAATAACTGCCTGTTTGAACGCAAGTGACTTTTTGTCCCAGGTTCTTTTGCTACCCAGTTGTGCAATCAAATGTTAGTACCACTTTCCTTTTGATTTATTTGCAAGTGGTAACCGGGCTTGTAAAGTACACGATGTAATTCACAACTTGTAGTCATATGTCGTCAAAAGCTCAGGTCTAAGGTCACACCAAAGACATGAGGTCACACACCCAAGTCACGTCAGACCAGCGACCTGAACCTGTGGATAGTCGCGAACAGTGCAAACGGATCCCATTTGGGCCTATGCTATCGATTAAACATTTTGGCACAAATGAGAACAATACCTGGGCGCTTATACCTTGCAATGATCCTAAAATCGTCGGATTCAAAGCGTTGGGTTGCATATCAAGTTTAGTGGTGACGCGTACTCGTCATATCCAACTTTGATGCGTCAATAACAAACTTATGGGCACTTTCATATGCAACACACACACACACACACACACACACACACACACACACACACACACACACACACACACACACACACACACACACACACACACACACACACACACACACACACACACACGCACGCACGCACGCACGCACGCACGCACGCACGCACGCACGCACGCACGCACGCACGCACGCACGCACGCACGCACGCACGCACGCACGCACGCACGCACACACACACACACACACACACACACACACACACACACACACACACACACACACAATGTCCAGCGCTTAGGGCCGCTGGGATGGCCAGCAGCCACACCGTTGGTACGGTTGAGCTTATTCCTGGAAACTGGAGACGTCCGGTCCGCTTCGAGCAACTGTTTCACATCGATATGGGTATTTGTACTAAAATAGCTAGATTTTTGCTTGGATATGCATGTGCTAAGACACCAAGCGCTCATCTCTTAATTTTCAAGACAAGCAGCCTCGGGTCTGTTTCGTTCTGGTCTTATTTCCAGCACTGATGTTATCAGCGGTGATAACATCATTAACGTAATTACGATGTCACACTGATGATATCAGTGTTCCGTTTCGCATGTTAAAATGAATCCTTCGTATGCCAATTAGTTTAGTCTGTAGTCTAGGCCCTTGAAAAGTGCGGTGTTTCAGGCATGGGCCATGGTTACGTACATATACAAACGGTACAAGATTGTCGCATTGATGCCAAGCGCACAAGCTACCCACCAAGTTTTAGTGAAACTGGACAACCAGTGCGATTTATTTAAGAATGCAAATTTCGTCCGCATTTTTCTAACACAGCGAGGCCTTTTACGTATTTTGGTACCTACTGCGCCCTTTGCATGGATTGAGCCCCTCTACCAAGCGAGACAAACACGTACTTTGCCACGGTTTTCCACCGAGCGATATACCATATTATGGCACTGGACTCCCCGGCTGCGCGAGTGATGACGTTCACCCGTCTTGTTATGCACGCCACATGAAAGGCGCCGTCCCATGGGAGCGCAGGGGCCGGCAGGAGACCACCTGCATGAGCCCCGCCTGCCGCCCGGTCGATAGGGAGGGCAGCAGCATCGGCACGGCGCGAGCGGAGAGGAGGCGCCCGCCCGCCCACTGTGGGCCACATCTCAGCCAGTCGAGGCGCGGATGATGGGCATGACGGGCGCATGGAGTATAACATGAAGCATGCATAAACTACAGTATTTAAAAATAATAGCACACTTGGGAGCAGCTTTGAGTGCATGCCACTTTGACACAGTCGCTGGCGTGATCTTACCAGACTGTCTGAACAATTTTCGTTTATCTGTACCCGGTCTAAACCACGGGCATGTGTTCTATTGCACCCCTCTGTATTCAGAGCAAACCTAACTACAGAACTCCTTTCCCTGTCGATTGTAAAGAACGTACAGTGGAGTCGACTTGGGCTTTTGGAATGTTCTTACACGGTGTTTTTCTGGCACATAACAGAGCCAGACAGTAGCAGGGCTCAGAGCCTCCAACCCCACAGCTCGTGCAATACACGGTATGACCTGGTGCGAGATTAGCAGGGCTCAGAGCCTCCAGCCCCACAGCTCGTGCAATACACGGTATGACCTGGTGCGAGATTGGCAGGGCTCAGAGCCTCCAGCCCCACAGCTCGTGCAATACATGGTATGACCTGGTACGAGATTGACAGCGCTCAGAGCCTCCAACCCCACAGCTCGTGCGGGATTTGTGCCTCCTTCCGTCCTTTTTGCGGTCCAGTACATGACGTGATGCATCACTATTCACTTTTCAAGCATTTCTAGGTATATCACGATGCGTTGTGATCCACTTACACGGAATGGGCAACCGCCAGTAAATCACTATACACCCGGGTCGATTTGCATGCCAGCCATCTGCTGTGTAACTCGCGATGAGTTGGCGTTCACGAAGGCTGACGGTTTAAAATCACAACGGATCTGCATGGATTTGCGCCCTAATGTTTGTCAGGCAAGTCACGAGCCATCTTGGCCTACAAGTGCTTATGAATGCTTTAGTTTTTGCTTTATTTTGTTTTGTCTTTGTTTTGTCTTGTTTTATTTTTGCTCCCTCATAGGAATATTGTCACGCAGCCTATCACTTGTCTGAAAGCCTCAAAATCCATCAGTAAAACAAATGGTCTTCCCAAAATGGAATATCGTACGCTCTAGAATGCAGCTAAAACGTGCTTCCAAAGAAAATCATTTCAGCCTCACCAAACGCAAAGCGACGAGTATATGGAACCTATTGGCAGTAACACTTAAATCGTGCAGGAATATAAAAGTGTGAAGGACGAACAGCCGAAAAAGGTGCCAAATGTAGCCCAAGATACCGCAACGTTCTATGTACGCAACTAAAGAAGGTTTTACACTGCGTTCAGCCCCTACAATATGCATGTTTAGTACAGCCAAATGTGTCCTCTGTGCTGCAGGGCTTCGTTCACATCTCGGATGACTACGCGCCGGGCGGCGGCTCCCATTGGTGGCTGTGCGCGGGCGCGACACGCCGCACCGCCACCATCCGCTCGTACCTGCACGTGCTGACGGTGACGGAGGTGCGCGGGCCGGGCGCCGACCGGCGGCGGCGGCGACGTCGGCGCCGCCGCGCCTCGACCGCGCCGGACCAGCTGCCGGTCAGCGTCAGCTACGCTGCCATTCCAGGTGAGGCTGCTGACGACGGGGACGGCCTGCAGCCGCGGCCAAGAGCTGTGGCCTGCAGCTGTGGCCGAGAGCCGCAACCAAGAGCTGTGGCCGCGGGCCGGGGCTGGGGAGAGGTGGCCAGCGAGACACGGCCGAGGTTACATGCATGGTTGGCTTACACACACACACACACACACACACACACACACACACACACACACACACACACACACACACACACACACACACACACACACACACACACACACACACACACACACACACACACACACACACACACACACACACACACACACACACACACACACACACACACACACACACACACACACACACACACACACACACACACGCACACGCACACGCACACGCACACGCACACGCACGCACGCACGCACGCACGCACGCACGCACGCACGCGCAAGCACACGCGCGCGCGCATGCACGCACGCACGCGCACGCGCACGGAAAGCGGAAAGTGAGATAATGGAGACAGGATGAAAGTTAAGATACAAACGAAAATGTTCAGAGAAGAAAGAGGAGAAAATCTTAATTTCGTAGGACGAACCCGTTGTGGAAAGTTCGATTGATTCCAAGATGATTGCTGATAAAAAGACGAAGATTCGACGGTTTGTATTATATTCTCGCCTGCTACTTGTGACATTGGATGCCCGGATGTACGGGCCTTCCTGCAGTGGCCACTGTGCCCCGTGCCGCAGCGCCCCGCCCTGTCGCGCACGTGCGCCGGCTGTTGGCTGGCGCGGCCGGCGGTGCACCTCCGTGATCCAGTTAGTACTGGCACGCGACCGAGACTCGTGATTGGAACAGCGGCCGTATCCGGGGCTGGCTGGGCTGGGGTCACGCGCCGTCCGGCCACTGCCACCTTGCCTGTGCCACTGCCTCCCACGCAGAGGTCACTGCCGCCTCGCCTGCGCCGCTGCCTCCTACGCAGAGGTCACTGCTGCCTCGCCTGCGCCGCTGCCTCCCACGCAGAGCCACGGGGGCGTACCAGCACGGACCACTGGGGAGTGGTGGGTGTGGCGATGGGCGCTGGGAAACGCTGGGAGACGGGAGCCCATACGAAGATCGCCCTCGTATGAGGCGGAATACCTGACCGGGACTAAGTGCGCAGCGGCTGCTGCTCAGTCGTTACGAGCACGCGGCGGAGTCAGTTTATGTGGGGCGTTCACAGGCACAATCCATTGTTTGCAGCGGTAGTGGCACGGAGTGTGCATGGGGTTTCGTCGTGCTATTTAGCAACTTACGGTCTCACCGTAGATCAAGTTGGAATTTATGATGAGCGGAATGGTGTTGTCACGGACGCCTACTGTCATGTGTTGTCGCCCCATGTCGCGGTTTATCTGCGGTCGACTGATTAATTATGATCTGCGCATCCGCGATTTATTAATTTCAGTTATGAAGAAATATGAACTAGCGATCACCTGGGGTTTCCGTTTGTCTGGTTTGCGACAGCAAATATGACCCAAATGAGCGAGATAAGATCACTAATTTAAAAAGAAAATCACCCCGCTTAGTCTACATTTTGCCATACGTATGTATATTTTGAATTGTTTAGCCTCCGGTACTCAGACTATGTCAGCGACAGGTCAGCAGTTGATTACTATAACCTGAGCAAGCCCAGATCGTTCAGCTGGCGTGTTTGTCCATCATGTAAGCATCGGCTGTCGTCTCTACGAGCGCATGCCGTGTACGGCTACACTTTATTTGGTTTTCACGCGTTTAAGTCGGCTGTATCCATGCATGCAGCGCATGCAACCCCAATATCATTCCACGACACGAATAAACCGATCTCTTCATGCAACCTGAATTAGTTGATCTGAACAAATAAGATATCTTTCAACACTGCTGTAATCCAAAATCGAGTTTCTGATTGTTTATAGCTGTGTTGTACAGGCAATCATCAGAAATTAACTGAAAACAATAGCAGTTCAATTTTCATGTTTCGACTGCCTGTTAGGAGAGTGTTCTGAAGCCTTTCGCCCGCCGAGAGATTTTCCGTCAGGCCGTCTAGCGGCGCGTGTCGTGACAGCGTAACCGGGCCCCGCAGTCACGGAAGCCGGCGACGCCCCCGCAGTACCAGCAGCCATTGGCCAAGAAGGCTTACCGAGCAGGCTTACTACCCGCCCGCTGAAAGCAATCAGGCGGGCCAGCTCAGCGCCCCTCCCGGCCCGCTCTCCTCCCACAGCGGGACTTAGCTTCGTCCCACGTTGCAGACGCGGCTTTCAACAACAAGAGCGGCGCGTCCGGCGGTGCCGTCGAGCCGTGCTGGGCCAGCCCGTGCGTGAACGACGGCAAGTGTGTGCCGCGCGACGGCCGCTCCGTCTGCGCGTGTTCCGCCCAGTTTGCGGGTGAGTGCCGCCGCGCCGCTGGGCTCGCCAACTTTAGGTCCGGCGCTCACCAGCCGGGCGTGAGGGTTCGCAGCGTGCCGCCGAGCCGACGGCGGCCGGGAAGTAACACTGCAGTCGATCCAGACGGAAAAGTTGGTGATAGTTAACAGGGGCGCTGCCAGGATTTTCCTGAGGGACGGGACCGGATCTCAGTGAGCACGCATCATGCTGATTTAGAACTTTCAGTTGGAAGCGATCTGTGGTGAAACACGAAAAAATCTGTGTCGAAGGAGAGCCTCTCTGGCTCTTTCGTCGGCTGCATCCCTGGTGGCTAAGTTTTGTTTCAGTCTATTATGTTTGGCTTCATTTTCGGACGATCGTTTGGTACAGTTTCAGCTGCCAATGCATTCGTAAGTTGTTGAAAGGTCAAGGAATTGCGTCTTGTTAACTGCCCAGTGTGCGCAGGCAAACAGCCCAATGCAAGTAATTCATGGAACAGAACCTGTGGTGAATGAGGGTTAAATGACAACGGGCCGTAAGTATGCATGTGGCCCCACCATTTTGGGCCTAACCATTCCAGTGCATGCCCGCAGCGTGCGACACAGCCCCCGTGTCGCCGGCAGGCTTGTTCTGCCACATCCCAGCGTGCGAGATGTCGCTGTGCCTGTTTGGCACGTGCGAGGCGACGCCGGCCGGCGTGCGGTGCCACTGTGACCCGCTGCACGAGGGCGAGCGCTGCGAGCGGCGCCGCTCGCCCTGCGCCGACAATCCGTGCCATGGCCGCGGCCTGTGCGCCGAGGCCAACAGCACCTTCGTCTGCCACTGCCACGGCTGGTGGTCGGGTCAGTGGCGCACGTGATGGGCCGGTCCGCCGGTCGACCGGTCACGTGACGTGATCTGCCGGCGGGCGTGGCCGCCCTCCGGGCCGCGCTCCGTGTGATGCGACTGTCAGCTCGTTGGTCGATGTGCCGTACGCGGGACGGACAGCGGAGAGCTGTTGCAAAGCCGGGGCTCGTGCCGCCGGAGCCTGCCTTCTCAGCTGTGAACTGGGATGACGTCATCGCCCGCTTTATGTGATATTCATGCGGGGTAAAGTGATGCCACTCCGGTAAAGATCCGCCTCGTTTACTCAACCGCGTTAGTGGTGTGACGTCAACGACCACGAACGCGGTGTTTGCGTTACGCTGGCGTTGTACAGTGGCGAAGGATTGTGTGATACGTCGGCGTGTGGTGGCGTCATATTATGACGTCCGTTCGTTGCGTCTAGCGTTACGCACGGAAGTTGAGGTTGCACTGTGAGGCCGTGGGCTGGCACATGAACATTCATGGCGGCCTGTGGTGCACAGGACGCCACTGCCAGACCCGGGTGCTGCACATTCCGTACAAGCCACTCAGCGAGCGGATGATCGAGGAGCCGTTCTGGCTGGGCCTCATCACCGTCACGGTCGTCATGGTCGTCATCGGCATCATCTGGTGCATCAAGAAACACTTCGCCGAGAGGATTGAACACTTCTTCGCCGAGGAGATCGAGAAGAGCAAATACTACGGTGGTGAGTTGGCACCAGCAGGTCGCGAATGTAACCAATACAATGTGAAATGAAATTTATTAGAAACGGTAGCCAGGCCCAAAATGGTGGGATCGGTCAAAAATGGTAACTGAATGCCAACAGTCGCCTGGCTCAGAGGAAGAAGGCATCAGTGTAAGGTAAAAACGAAGTGAAAAAGCAAGTCGCTATTACCACAACGAAGTGGATGATGAATCTGACTGATTCGGCTGGTTCAACAAAGCAAAATCTTATCAAACTTGATGTGTTAATAGTTCTGGAGCTGAACTGTCATCATAAATTAAACGTTAAGTATAAGTATTTCATATTTCTGTTCACTCAGGTGACACTCATTAAGTGAAGAGGGTTTCATGCTGCGAATGGTTTTGACAAGACCGACGTGTTTATTTGAAGCTGAACGTATAACACTTCAGTGCGTCTTTGGGCCTGTGCATACTTTTATCGATCTACCTGCATTTAAAATTGAAGTGGAAAAGTCTGACATCAGTGCTGCTTCCACGTTAATGGTCAAGGTGATTCCAATCTTCAGGGTTTCATCACCTCAAACGGCGGAACACCGCGGGGTGCTTGGGAAGACGTGACAGGTTGTGAATGCAAAGGTCTACTGAGGGTAGTTGGTAACAAAAAACGGGTTGGCTGGGATCCTGTCGTTATGTCTAAGTCCCCGAGTCACGCAATCAGGCTTTTAGCTTGATAATCGAAGACAAATGACGGAGCGTTAGGGGCGTCCGGTGGTACGCCCGAAAGGTCAATGGCGATACAAACGCAAAGGTTGCAATATTGGGAAAGCCTGCTGCTCCAGAGGCCTGTGGTGGTCGATTTACGGCGAATGCACTCAGTTATGATACACATTGCATAAAATAGTAGCCCTGTTTTCGTAAGCGACTTGGTGGTTAGATGGCGACCAAATACGTAAAACTGCATATGGCAACCTAGCGCATTTGACATAGTTGGTAAAGGTAGTCGCATTTCTCTGAGGTGTCGAGACCCTTGCTTCTGCGTTTGTGCCCGTAGAACGTCTTCTTGAGAATGCCTCTGTCTGTTTTGTACGTTTGCTGGGTGGACCTTTTACGGTTTCTTCCTTGACTTCTAGGGTCCTCACAGTCTGTGTTTTATTAGTAAGCGGTGCTCGCGACGTACAGCTTGTATTGCGCGCCGCCGCCTGTGCCTCCTGCCTACACTCAACCCTCTGAGATGCGCCGCCCCACTCCGCATAACCGTGTCTGTGCCCTGCCTACACTTCAATCGAAAACTGACCATCACTGGACTACTTCCGCTGTTTTCTCTATCGCCGTACACCCCATAAGTCAGGCACATACCGTGGGCGCAACACTTGATGGGTCAGGCATAGACCGAGGGCGCAACACTTGATGAGTCTTGGATATACCGAGGGCGCAACATTTCATGGGTCAGGCATATACCGAGGGCGCAACACTTGATGGGTCAGGCATATGCCGTTGGCGCGACACTTGATGAGTCTTGCACATACCTTGGCCGCAACACTTGTCCATCGTACATCCTCATGACCTGACCGGGTGTTGCGAAGCTCCCCGCGCGCCTGCCGGACCCGCTGCGGCCATCAACAGCGCGCAGCCGCCGAGCGCTAGCGCGCGGCCTGACGCCAGGGCCAGAGGTAACAGCCAGCCGACCAGTGTGGCATTACCGTGCGCACCCCAGTAGCGTCACACAAGTAGGTGTGAGGCGTGTAGGCCAGCACGAACATAGTTCGCTCACAGCTGAAAGTAGTGTGTGCCGTGTGTGCGTTCTTGTGTGCTTGGCGCCGACGCGACACCGTTCTTCCGGTGCAGAGGTGCTGCGTAGACGTAAAGCTCTAGCGTGGTTAGCTCCCAGCAATACCGGCCAATTATGGGCGGGGTTGGATAGAAGACTTGGGGTTGGATAGAAGATTGGCGTGCGCGCCGAACAGACCACGTGCTCAGTTTTTTTAACGGAAATTTTCGAGCAGCTGATCTGCATTGCGTGAAGTGTGCTATTCCGTTTGAAAGTATCATGATCGGTGCTTCTCTCAGACACCTCCCGACAGTTTGTTGATATTTCTGAAGGCAGCTGACAGCGCACGCATTTGAGACGCTCCTGTGGCCTGGGGACAGCTGTTGTAGTTGTAGGCATGGATGGCTTGCGAAATACGTAAGATCTTGGTATCATGTTCATCCGTCCGAATTTTGATCTAGCGGTTTTTCAAGAAAAGATAACAGTACACAGTTGTCATCTGATTTGAGATGCTTTCAAGGCGTTGTATAGCATACAATAATTTTATATTACAATTGGATGCAATGTTCAGTTGATCACGTCTTTCCTTTCACGGACAGGGACGTTGTCAGGCAGCTCGTGATTTCCAAATGAATCGCGTGCTGTTTCTTGCTGGTAACATGATGCATCACGTAGAACATAAACAGCATGGTGCCAGCACTGCGATGATGCTCATATATAAACACGAATATATGTACGCACGCTTGACGCTCTCGCCCGGACATATCGGAAGCACAGTTCACATGGACCTATGTACCCACACAGATAAAATGACGTTCAGTGCCTCAGCATTTGGCCTCAGTGCACGCGAGTGCGCTCTGGCGTTTCTGTATCGTTTATCGTCGCCAAACTTGCAGATGGGTGCTCTGAGCCTGAACTTGTACTTTACGTCTGCGTCTCGCACAAACATTGCTTGCAGAAAGCGAGCGCATTCCTGCCGCGGTGTGGAAGATCAGGGTGTCAACGTTTAAGGCCGTCGTCTTGCGCACTGCCAGCGCAATGACAGAAACTGGTTATCTTACGCCGATTGTCGTGTCCTACACAACATGCATGCGGAGGAAATAACCCGCTGATCACGGCTACAATAAAAGCAGGCTCGTGTATAACTCCAGGAGTCAGGTTTGTCGGCCACGTACTGGTCGAGTAGCCCCGCCCGGTAGCAGCGACGTAGCCCTGGTCGTGTAGCGCTGTGCGGCGCGCCAGCCTCGGCCACCGTCCGTGCGCTGACGGCCGCGCGCCGCCCCTAGGCTACATCCCGTCGCCGCATGCGTCGCACGCGCTACTGCGCGACTCTCCGGCCAGCTCGCCGCCGCCGCAGCGCAGCTTCCTGCAGCGGCTTAGCCTGCGCAAGACCTCGCGCGTCTCGCTGCTGTCGCTCTCCTCCGTGGCGTCGTCGCCCGGCCACGACCTGCGCCGCAGCGTCGAGGACTTTTTCCGCGCGCCGCTCAAGCGCAGACGTAAGTGAGGCGACGCCGACGGCCGGGGCCGCGCGCTCGCCCCGCCCCGTCCCGGCGCGACCCGGCACGGCGCGGCGCGGGGGAGAGGTGGCGAGGTGAGGTCAGGAGAGAGGTGGCGAGGTGAGGCCGGCTGCCGGCGCAGCAGCGGCGGTTGGCAGCGGCGCAGGTACCTGTGGTCAGCTCGGGTAGTGTTGTCGCTACTGTTTGGTGCCTGGATTTAGTAGGGTGCCTTTTCTTGTGTATGGCAGGCCAACCTGGTCCAAGGCGCATTTGGCTCATGACCGCCTGCAATATGCCGGCCGCCAGCTATAACAGACTGCGCTCCACACTAAATGTCTGCCAGTGCCGGTCATAAATTACCAAAACATGCGATATGGATCCCCGCTTGCAGCCGACAAGGATGTCCGTTCTGAGCTTGATTTGCTTACGTCTGACTGCAAATGGGCGGCTGGCTGTGTCGGGACCGGCCGGCGGCCTCGTGCATTGACCCCGCCCGGCCGCGCGCAGGCTCGCGCTCGCCGCTGGGCTGTCCCTACTACAAGCGTAACTCGTCGGCGGAGTCGCACGAGCTGGACGTCGAGTCGCGGGGCATCCTGCGTGGCCTGGTGACGCCGCGCGACCCGCTCAGCGAGCGCAGCAGAAGCTACGAGGAGTTCATCCAGCTGGCCGAGATGAAACTCGGGGTGAGACGGGCGCTGCGGCTTTGCGCCGGTAGCTGGCGAGAGCCTTCGCATCTGGGGGGGGGGGGGGGGGGGGGGGGGGGGGGGGGGGGGGGGGGGGGGGGCGTCGCCACGCGACACAGACTCTTGGCGCTTATGATTCACTCCGTTGATCGTCAGTTGTCGGTGTACTGGCGGGTTCGATACCAGTTTTATCGCGTTTAAGAGCAATTTGGTACACGAGTTCGATATCTAAAACAACATCAGGTCTCTGCGTATATGTGACCATCGTTAGGGATTGAGTACAGAGATGCTTGCTGTTCGTGACCCAATCTGTCGATCGTTAAGCATCAATGAGCTGGAATACCGGTGTTCACCCCAGGACCAGCGGAAGAGAGGACCGCAGTCAGTGGACGACACGGCGCTGGCTGACACCTCGTTCCATGACATCATGGGCAGCAAGTTTGACAAGCGCGTCAAGTTCGCGTCGCTCATGTCGCACGTGTCGCGCGACATGATGACCTCGTCCGGCTCCGACCTGAGCTGTGTCAGCGAGGCCAGCTGCAGCTACAAGCCACAGAGCCTGCTGGGCGGCCAGTCGCGGCGATCGCTCTCGTTCAAGCGGCGTGGCCGGGCTTTGGCCTGCGTGCCGCCCGACGACGCCGTGGAGACGACGTCGACGGGCTCTGACCTGACGCCGGACGCCGTGCGCCGCTCGGCGCTCATCCAGTCGCTGTCGACACCCTCGTCGCCGCGCCACCGGCCCATCGCCAAGATCACGAGCGCCGACAGCATCCTGTCGATGCTGCGCGGCTGGGCCAACGGCCGCTCCGTCTCGACGCCGTCCAGTCCGGCCAACTCGGACCACGGCGACGAGGCGCCGCTGGCCAACGGACCCTCGTCGCCGGGCGCCGTCGCCGCCGCCGAGAAGACCGCCGCCAACAGCCTCGAGATCCCCGTGTACGCTGGCGGCAACGGGAAGAACGGCGGCGCCGTCTCGGCGCAGTCGGTGACGCTCGAGATCCCCAGCCACGACTACCGGTGCCTCTCGCCCATCACGGAGGTGCCGACGCCGTCGCCGTCGCCGCTGCCGACGCCGATCCGGATGGCGCGCCACCCGATCCATATCCACCTGGAGCACCGCGTGTCGGACATGGACTCGGACGCGTCCACCACCATGTCCATGTCGGGCAACGAGCAGTCGCGCACCAGTAGCGCTTCCCTGGACATCAACGCTGACGCCAGCAACCGCACGCCGTCGCCGACGTTCAACCGAAAATACAGCTGCAACTTCCCCATCCCGATGGTGATCATCGAGACGACCAACACGTCGCCGGAGAGCGAGGAGCTGCCGTTGCCGGTGACGCCGCCTGCGCCGCCGCCATGCCCGCCGGCTATCATAATCTCGGAGGAAGACGGTGACGCGGAGGGCAGCCCGCCGCCGCCGACCTCGCCACCGACACCGTTGCCGCCGCCGCCCCCACCGCCGTTGACGCCACTGGAGGTGACGGTGCCGTCGTTCACGTTCCTGGCGGCCTCGCCGACAGACGACGCGCCGCTGACGCCGCTGGCGCCGCCTGTCGTCGGCGAGCGTAAGCTGAGCGCGCCGCACGCACTCAGCATGCTCCGCAAAACGCCATGCCTGCGCGAGGCGAGCCGCGCCGACTCGCTGGAGCTTCAGTCGCGTCCTGGCCGCCAGCTGTCGCGCAACATGAGCGAACAGGACTCGGACACGGACAGCACGCGGCACACGAGCGGTCTGCTGCTGGCGCCGTTCGCGCCGGACGCGGCGCACAGCAACTCTGAGTCCAATTTGAGCTCGTCCGGCTACAGCTCGGCCTACAGCCCGGCGCCGTCGCGTTGCTCGTCCACCAACCCTCTGGTGGAGGAGACGGGCACCGCGCCGCGGCGGCCGGCTCTGCTCCACCAGGCCACGCTCGAAGACGACTCGGCGCTCGGCAGCAACGACGACTGCCTGTCGACGGACCCCGAGATGCCACGGCCCGAAGCGCTGCCACCGCCGCCGCCACCACCGCCGCCGCCACCGCCGCCGCCCGTGCCGCCGCCGCCGCCGCAAATCGTAGTGCACCCGCCGCCGGCACTGCCGTCCGACTCATCGCTGGAAGAGCCGCAGCGGCCGAGCCCGGCCTCCTCGCGCTCCGAGTCGCCTCTGAGTGACCGCACAGTGCGCCGCTTCTCGCGCCAGTTCTTCGGCAAGCTGGAACTACCGTGCACCGACTCGGACTGCTTGTACGACTACCCGAGCTCCGAGCGACTAGCGGCGGGCGGTGCGTCGCGCCGCGCCGGCCGCCGCCGCCGCCGCACCGCCGTCAAGTGGCGCAGCGTGCCAACCGTGCCGCCGGAGCGGGCCGCTGCCGCCAACGCCGTCGCCGGCGATGCTCGCCAGAAGACGTGGACGCCGCACACGCACAAGCGGCGCAGCAAGCCGCCGCGCTCCGAGGCCTGGACTTCCTCCAACGAGTCGATTGACCTGACCAGGTGAGGCTGGTGGCGAGGTGGCGTGCTGTGCTGCTCTGCAGGGTGGGGATGCGGGAAATGATTCTGGGCCATCCTGGGGTTTCCGTGATTGTGTCCATATGCTATGCATTTGCTTTCGTTCCTTTGTTTCCCTCTCCCTTTGCGTACTTGTTTCTGAGCTCGCGCCATTCACGTTCGGATTTGTGTTCAGTGGTGTTAGTGATATCAGCAAGTTGCCTTGATGTGTCTGCACCATATGCTAGCATTCTCTTTCCCAGAAGAGTAATGAATGTCCACGATCCCCTGAGTGAACCTATCTCTGAGTCTGATCATAAATGTTTGCTTACATTGCTTAGTGATTTTGTTTTCTCTCGATGTTTTCCATAAATTTCTCTAAAAAACATCGAAATCATTCAGCCAGCGACATGAGTGCACATAACTACCCATGACGCCGGCGAAGTCCCCCTACCCCGCTTGTAAGCGAATGACAGGCTCATCAGCAGCGGCACTCAATACTGTACTTCACCAACAAGGCTGGCTCCAATTATGTGTGCTGCAGCGATGTGCTATGGATCACGCCAATATGATTATCATGACGTGGGAACAGCGTCAATCTTTCAATAGAAATTTGACCAAACATCTTGTGGGATGGCTGTGGGGCTGAAGATTCTGTAAGGACGCTCATTAAGACGCCTAGCCCAGAGCCCTAGAAGAGGAATTCTCTCTCAACTAATGATGTTAGCGGAAATAGTCCTAGGGCGTCATGCAATGCCACAACACAGCGTTGTGCTCCGCCGGGCGTTTTAGTATGATGTGTGCTTCTCCCCAGCCGGCTATATACCGGACACTGACTAACGAGGCATGCACTTAAGCGGTGTACCGAGCGTTATCGCCCTCTGGGGAAATCTCGCAAGTGTGGCACTGGGGCAGAAATGTGTGCTACGCGCGCATTATTGTTTCGGATCCCAGGCATTTCCATACAAAATGTGCCGCATCACTCACGAGTTTCTTTCTGTATTGAATGTGCAGTATAACAAAAGCGAGGGTAGTGGTACTCACCATTACCATGGGTACTTACCACGGGTGTCGATTTGTATTATTTTGGGTGGGCCACTGCCCCCCCCCCCCATGTCGAATTCGCTCCCTCAATGGTAAGTTTGTCGCCCCCCAATTCTCGAGAGCCAAAGTGTAAGCAGGGCATTACAAATGGGAAGTCAAAATTAGATCAGTTTCAAAGAAAGTTTATGCTAATCGCTCCATATATGAAAGGAACGAAGAGAATGAAAACTGCGATGGCATGCTCAACTGAGTGCGCCTGGCTGGGCTGTCACGCTGTAAAAGCTCCGCGTTCATGCCGTGTCTACTTCGGTATGTTCTGTTTTTCTTGCATAGTACATGCTTTGATTGTGCGATGTTTATGTCTAGTTGACTCTGATGTAGTTTTGCTATGGTCTGAGTGCTTTCGGATTATTCAGTGTTGTTTAAAAGTTCACAGACTGCGGCAAGCTGCGCCATTTTGCCGCGGCAAGATGCGATGTCCTTGGGAAATTGAGAACAATTTGGTCAAATGTTAGCACTAAAAAACGTGAGCATTTAGCCGGCAACGTTCGGAAGACCATTGAAATGTGCCATTGAACTGTGCCATTTGACTTTTCCGATTCGATTCAACGTGAATATCCGATGGACTAGCTGTAAAAACTCGACGATTGACACCAGCTGACTAAACCATAAGCGGTAGTCCTCCGACAACAGCCGAAACAGCACTAGCCATGTCAAATATGCCCAACTAGAGCACTGTGTTGCAGTCTGCAGCCCGCCTTACGGCACCTAGTCGGAGGTTTCCGTGGCAGCCTTTAATAATCGCGCACATTAACTTTATCTCTTCACTCCTTAAGCCATACACGTCTAAAAACGTCTGAAGCCACATAAAATCGACTCTGTGTTGATTGCCGACACCTGGTTTCGATGATCGAGCCAAACCAAACTGTTGATGATTCCTAACAACATCTTCCGCCGAGGAAGAGCGGGGAAATGAATTATAGCGATGCTTAAGTTTCCTTAAGAACTGACGCTCAAGTGTCTGATTGGAAGGTAATACGTCCGGTGACTTCTCAGTGTTCGGTATTTGGACTACTGCCTCGCAATCCACGCTCTTTATTCCGCGGTCCCGAACACCCGTTCGACACAGCTTACATCACGGCCGCTAGATGTCGGGCGGCCCACTTACGTACTACGTTCCAGGAACCACATGGTATACACGTCATCGCACACACATCGGAAAGCACAAATGCAGCTGTAGGTTATATTAAGGACCCCGAGTTGCGGAGTCGGGCGCTCGAAAGTCAGTCGGGAAGCCTTTCGCACCGATCGGAGACACCCTACGACAACGGCCTCTATTTCTGTCAGAAACCCCATAAACGAACAGCCGGCTCCGTGTCGGTATGAGCTTTCGGAGCCCATTTCTCAGGCGAGGACAAGGCCGGTACCCGTTATTTGCGTTGGTCTGGACCCCTGGAATGATGAAACCCTCGTGCTGGTCAGGGACCCACAGTGCCCTACAAAGAGTCATGTGTCGACAGGGGGTCCCGAGTTGGCCGGGGCATCATTTGCTGAACAGGGACAGATACTGGACCCTGAATGCCAGAGAGGCTCTTGCGTTGATCGGAGGCCTCTGGCAATGACAGTGGATGTATGGTGATTTGCGATGCCCCCACCTCATTTCAGCCTGGGGCCCGTTATTCTGAACCGGAGCCTCTCTGCCAATTATTGGACACCTGTGTCGATAAGAGATCTGTTTTTCGTCAATGAGGATCCCTGCGTCGATCCGGGTCCAAATTGCCGGGTCAGGGGCCTCCGGCGTCAGGCAGGCGACCAATATACATGCAGGCACGCCTCTGTATTGCCAGAAAGGCAGCCGGCAGACGCACCGGGCTGGGACGGACCGGTGTTTAAGCACTTGACCGGGAAACATAACGTGCCCCCAGCGTCTACCTACTGGGCCCCTCGCCTGGAAAAAGTTAGGGAGTTTCTTTAGTGTTAAATGAGGCGCATCAAAATGACATGCAAATGAGAGGCCAACACAAACAGGGAAGTCCATCCAGAGGTGTCAATTTGTGCACTTTCGAAGTTTCTGAGCCCCTCTCCCCAATGCAACCTTTAAGGGAATGATCCACATTTGAAGATGCTAAAGCATGCCTCCGATATGATGAAATCATCTCACTTGAACTATCAATATACTTTCAAGCTTGAAAACACTCGCTACACGAGCAAAACTCTCAATTTAGTAAAAAGGCTTCTAAATGCGTCATTATTTGATAGCGTCATGGAACGTTTCTATGACGCTGAGGTGTTGCCAAGTAGGTGTGCGAAATTGCTACCTTACCACTCTCATGTAGTACTTCAACTCGCCGAAAGATGGCAGCAGCGGAGCTGGAAGCGTCCGCTGAGCCTTTACGTGCTCGGTGTTTTGGCTTCTCGTGGTGCTCTTGCACATGCATACCCGAGCTTAGAAGGCAACTTAGAAGGTAGCTAAGAAAGGTATTCCCCTGCGTCCATCCTTGTTACAGTGCAACGTGTGAAACAAATAAGCTTTGAGCCTGCGTGCTCGAAATCTTAGAGACAGGAACACCGATGACGGGAACTGGAGTTTCCATTACACCGAGCAGGCGTGGGTTGGCCGACACCGGGTGGCACACGGCTGACGAGCGAAAACAGCCGTCATCAAACAATTCTTCCGAAAGTCTTTCAAAATGAATTCGTACCAGTACAAAATAAGACTGGGGCGTAAACTAGGCATGCAAAACCTGGAGGATGTTCTTTGAACAGATTATTGCGCCAGCAACAAAACATGAAAGATTCTGTGTTTACTTATCTAGTTTCACCACCCAATTCCAGCGCCGGTTCGCAGTGCTATGAATGCTAATCCGTTCCTATTATAAAGGAATAAATTGCGCAGATGAAAAACGCTTCCGTATTGCCTTCTGGGAATACGGATTGGCATCCTAGAACATTCAGAGGTACTTAGTTTCGGAGATGTTGCCGTTTTCGCCCATCCAAATGTCACCGCCTAATACCAGCCGACACCGCGCGGCCCACGAAGACTACAACGCCGATCAACGGGGTTTTTGTTCTCTAAACCCTGAGAGCTCGCGTGGACAAAGCGATGTTATGAGGTTCTTCTACTTCTCAGCTCCGAACAAATATTCAGCCTACTGATAGATCAGACATGTCCGAATGCATTTTTTTGACACCCCTCTGAATCGCTCAGAATTTCGACATGACGTTTACCACAGTGGCTCTTTTCGGGACGCAGTTTTGCTTTGGGAAAGGATATCACATGCATCGCATGGTCTGTAGTGACGCATTAGTGTAAACATCAACCAATTATGCCGTCGTCATGACGTCGATTGTCATAACGACAATGGTCGCGACAACTGCAGTTGTCGCAGACTCGGAATAGACTCTGGGGCTTCCGCGACAGGTAGAATTGCAGCGCTGTTGCAAGACGTTCACAGCGTAATTTGAACTAAAAATTAATTTGTATTTGTATCCTTTTTATGTCTTGATGGTGCTGCAGCGACACTACCCAGTGCTGTTAATAGACTAGCTTGCTTTAAGGCTTCACCAGAGCATGTTTTTGAAATATGCTCCAAAGGTGGAAGCATATTTCAAAACATTCTCTTCAAAGGGAATGCTC